ACCATCCCCTGTACTCAATAATACTTGAACTTGAAATAGTCAGCAGCCACAAATACCTTGGAATCATGCTCAATGAGAATATTGATTAGGATGAACAGTGAAAAAAAGTTCACAACAATATAAAATCAGTGCCATATCTACTCAAACGTCTTAAACAACTTGGACACACTCAGTCAAACCTTTTACAGGTCTACCGATCTTACACTATTAGCCACTTGATATATAGTGCTCCTATTCTTACTTCATGCAGTGCTGCTGCAAAAAGAGAGATCCAATATTTTCATAAAAATGCCCTACACATTATTGGAATTGATGTAACCAACTTAAGCAGCTTCAATATTATTTTTGACATTCAAGAGTTACTAGACAGGATCTGTATTAATATACTCAAAAAGATCCTTGCAGACTCATGCCATCCTATAACCTCTAAATTAACTCACACCAACAGCAGAAACCTTAATAGATTCCCGTATGCTCTTAACACCGCAAAAACTACTACTTACCAAAAAGCTTTTATTCAAAAATATCTCCGTATTCTTCGTGATGGCGTCAGTGACCTTTACCTACCAAGCAATATTGGGAGCCCTACTGCTTTTTCAATGCATAATTGATATGTTTCTTAACCTGCATTCTTAGAAAACTATTAACATTAAAGGACAGACAAAACTGTACAATTCATTACTTGTAATGCTATTCAATTTTAAATAAAGATTTATAAAATAAGTAATATATATATATATATATATATATATATATATATATATATATATATATATATATATATATATATATATATATATATATATATATATATATATATATATACAGGCTTGGCCAGGAAGGCATGCCATTTCAAGCCTTTATTTAATCCCACAAATATTTTGTTTTGATGATTTAATCACGGTTTTTAACAAATGCACTGAAAAACAAGTTTTTAATTTCATTGAAAATAAATAACTTTGAAACACTTATCTTTACTAATCTTTTTATATTAGCAAAACATTTTAAATAAAGTAGCTAATGATTTTAATTAAAGCATCATCGAAAGTTGTATAAATTTTTTATTAATATTATTTAATTATCTAAGATATAATTAAAATCAAAAATTTAAATTTTATAAGCGACGACTTTAAACAGCGATGGTCTCTTTAATAATTTTTCAAATAACTTTATTAGTATTGCAAAAAAACGCGTTTTTTTGCTGTCAAGTTTTTTTCACCCAAAAAAACGTGTTTTTTTGGCATTTTTTTGGTTTGGGTGTAGGTTTTTTTGGATTTTTTTTTAACTCTTATGGTATATTTGTTTACTAATTTTGTGTAAACAGAGTGTTTAGCCAAAGTGGTATAAAAATATTTGTCTTTTTGATTAGGAAAATGGCTAAACAGTTATATATATTTTTTTTTAATTTCAAGATTTTTGCCTCTAAAAAATTATTTATTTTCCTTATATTAAACACGAAAATGATTACCTTTTTTTATTTTGCAAAGCAGTGTTTTATATAATAAATATATTTCTTTCATATAATAAAAATATTTATTTAGATAATTCTGATTCATTCCATTAAATAATACATTTATTATTATTCAAAAAAAAATTATGGATTAATGAAAAATTTAATGAACATAAGTTGAAGAAGTTGAAAAATAATTTTGTAATTTTAGAACCAGTGACAGATCCAGGGGAAATGAGAGGTATGAACCTATTACCCTGCACCAGAATCCATAAATTTATAAAATATCTTTAAATTTTTTAAATTTTTTTTAGTAGGCAAAAATGTGATACAAATTAAACTAAATTTTTAACAAGCCCCGATTTCCCCTCACACCCACACCAAAAATTCCTAGATCTGACTTATTTTGCAATGCAGTGTTACTTCATTCATATAATAAATTCTTAAAACAATTCAATATTTAAAAAAATACAATTCATGCCCAGTGGGAAATGAGGTAGCAACTAGCTAGCTCTATAGCGATTTTTTTTTTCTTATTTTATTTTGTGCAAATGTCTTTAACTTCTTTAAAAATTCGATTTTTAGTGTTGAGTCTATTATAACTATGAAAATAATTGAACTTTAAACATTGCGATTTTGTAGCAATGTGTCACTAGCTACATATCGTAGCTTTGTAGCTAGCTACAAAATATCTACAAATCTATACCTGGTTGATAGCTGCATATCAAAAATTTTTAGACAACGGTTTTATTACGATATGACACTAAGTACAATAGCCAGTGGATCTTCAGCTTGTTAAGCTAGCTGTCCTTGTAGCCAAATCGCTGTCTTTATCTTTACAAAAATCGATAGCTTTTTGCTAACTTAAAAAAGCTAGCGATCCTCGTGGCCAAATCGCTGTCTTTATCGTAACGATTATAGCTAGCTATTCGCTAGCCGATTTCCCACCGGGTGGCCTTTACTTATAAAAATTTACTTCTTTGTCTTGACTTATAACAATTATTATTAAAAATTATTTAAAAAAAAAAAAATGTTTTTCTAATTAATGCTGCTTTTTCAAATTTTTTTTTTTTGAATAATTGAACAATTGCTAAACTAAGACATTACTAAAAATATGGTAAATGGAAGTATTAAAACAAGTATTTAATAAATATCACCAAAAATAAATTTTAAAACCATTTCAGTGTTTAAAATGCAAAAAGAGTAGTTTTTAAGACAAAAACGCAAAAAAAACAAAAAAACAAAAAAACGAAGTCCTCGGTTTTTTTTGCCAAAAAAACGTTTTTTTGGCAAAAAAACAAGAACCAAAAAAACGACTTACATCTCTAAACTTTATATAAGAATCATTAAAGTTAATTCCCTCGAAAAGTAAAATGATTTTGCTGAGAAGAAAAAAAAAAAGACAAACTTTTTTGAAAGCCGTTTAAATTAATTAACTTTGATCTTTACTAATTTTTTTTATTATTGAAACGTATTTAAATGAAGTAAGAAATCTTTGCGAATGATTATTTCTGAAAATATTAATGAATATTATTACAAATTTCCTTAGATAAAAATAAAATTATGTCAACTTTTTAAATATACAGTTTAATTATTTTTTCTTTTGTTTATGTTACTGTGAAGAAATTCTTTTTTTTTAATTTTAAATGTGCACATTTGTTAAACGATCATTAGATGAAGTTATTTTTATTTGATTTTTCATTTTTTTTTTTAATGAAGATTTATTTGCTTCTTTTACAATACTTTTATTTTTAAGTTTCTTCATAGTTAAGTTTTTTTTAGCGCATTGTTAAAATGTACACAAATTTTCAAAACATATTAACAGTTGTGGTTATGTTTTCAAAACCATTTAGTGTTTGCGTAGTCATATTATAACGTAGAATCGCATGCCTTCCTGACCAATCCTATATATATATATATATATATATATATATATATATATATATATATATATATATATATATATATATATATATATATATATATATATATATATATGTATATGTATATATATATCAGTCTTGGTTAGAAAAGACTTCGATCATATGTAAAAACTAATTGTTCAAAGTTTATTATACTATTGTTTGGTATAGTAAGCTTCAAATCTTTACTAATGTTCACTTAATGTAAACTTCATCTTTACTAATGTTTTTATAATACTATGGGAAATTCTTTAAAATAAAGTAACAATTTTCAATGATTGTTTAATAAATTGCATATTTAATTTAGATTTATAGATTTATAGATTTTTATAGATTTTTTTTACTAATTTAAAAATAGTAAGTTTATGGAAACTTACTATTCACATGCTAGTTATTATGCATAAAAAAAAAAGATAGTTTAACTCTTATTTAACCATTATATAAACATAAATGTATGTTTAAACTAAACCATTTCATGCTTTGTTTAAACATACATTTATTCAGAGAAAGTCATGCATAGTAAAGGAAAAATGTTTAAACATACATTTGTTTAAACATACATTTATTCAGAGAAAGTCATGCATAGTATAGGAAAAATGTTTAAACATACATTTGTTTAAACATACATTTATTCAGAGAAAGTCATGCATAGTAAAGGAAAAATATTTAAACATACATTTGTTTAAACATACATTTATTCAGAGAAAGTCATGCATAGTAAAGGAAAAATGTTTAAACATACATTTGTTTAAACATACATTTATTCAGAGAAAGTCATGCATAGTAAAGGAAAAATGTTTAAACATACATTTGTTTAAACATACATTTATTCAGAGAAAGTCATGCATAGTAAAGGAAAAATGTTTAAACATACATTTGTTTAAACATACATTTATTCAGAGAAAGTCATGCATAGTAAAGGAAAAATATTTAAATCTTCAAAATACTTTGTTAATTAAATGAAGTAAACAAAAAAAGGTTCTTAAAAAATCTTTGTAGTAATATGAAAGAAAAAGAAGTCAAATCATTTTCATTTTAATGGAAAGATAAAATATTTCTTTTGTCAGAAATACGTTACTTTTATAAAGTTAGAAAAATTCCATTAGTATTTTTTTGATTAAATTTTTTTTAAGAAGCTTATTTTTTAATCTTTGATAAAACAAACAAACATTTCTTTCAATTTTTTCCTCATTTAATTTAAATAAGGAAAATGCTTTTTTACAAGGTTTGTTATCTGGTTAAAATCTAATAAATAAATTAATGTTTATAGATGGCTTCCCATCCATTTAATCATCTTTAATAAATAAAACAAAAGTCAATAAAAATGATTATTTGCTTGTATTATATTTAATTTTGTATTTTAATTACCTTTATACAACTTAATTTCATCAGTTATTTTTAGTTAAATATCAAAATGATATTTCAAATCAGTTAAAAATGATTGATCTAATATTAAAAATATTACCTTAGCATTCAAATTGTTCACAGACTCCTTTTAAAAAATTTATGCATGAATATATGTATGTATTTATGCATGTATATATGTCTATGTGTATATATGTGTCTATATGTCTAACTTTACTGAAGTAAAATCTGATTTTGTTTTGACAGTTTATTTTTTTTTATAGATACACACTTAGTTGTACAAACTGATTTTTAGTAATGGACTCTGTAATTGAATAAACCTTGACAAGATTTTATCTCTGTGGAAGGCTTATTATTATTACTGTGATTTCAATATTCAATAAAGCAAAAGGTATGTGTTTTGAAGTATATTTTAAACAAAATCTATGTGTACAATATAACATTGCATGTTTAAAAATTTATAGAGCTCTATTGAATCTTCATTTAACTTGTACATTCTTAACTAATCAACAATCTAGTTTAACAATAAGGTATAATAAAAAAAAAAATAACAACAACTTATTCAAATAACAACTTTTTTGAGTGACTTAATATAGATTAATAGTAGAATACTTAGCTAACAATCACAAGGTTTCAAGTTCAAATCCACCGTATACCTCTGGAGGGTGGTACCCTTCAGCTGTTTCTCCATGCAGTGGTCTTGTTTAACAAGGTTTGTGTTTGAAAGTTTAACATTAAGAGATTTGCAAATAAAATTAGAAAAATTGAAAAAAAAAAAAGAGTAGTCTTCTCAACTGTAGCTCTGGAGTCTTTGGGAGGTGAATTTAATAAATAAAAACAACTAAACAATAAATTATTTTTTTGCTAACGAGTTAGCAAGAGTAAACAAATAATTTTGAGCTAAAATGTTACCTAATCTAACAATTTTTTTTTTTAATTTATAGCAAGTAGCTTTAAGCCTAAAGTTATCATTTGAAGTAAACAAGTTTACTTAGAGCAAAATACAAATTCAAATATTTAATAAAAGAAAACTGTTTTAAAAAGTATTCTAAAAGATAGATAACAGTCTTCTAAACTGTAAAACCTAAAATGTTTTTTTTTTCTATTATGTTGATATTTGAGTGACATCACTGCCCTATAAACAATGTGTAATGCATAGTGCTTTTTTTTTTTTTTTTTTTTGTATTTAAAAATATTATTTTTAATTGAAAAACAATTTCATTATAATGAATTTCTTAAATGCCTCCTTATCAGTTTGAACCAAATTTTTAATTTAAAAGATATAGAAAGAAAAAAAAAACATTTTTTAGCATAGATAACTGGTAATGAATGGAAAGTTTTTATAGTAAACTCTGCAAATCAAGCTAAAGGGTTTTTTTTATACAATTTTTTAAACCACAATTTTTTTTTTTAATATTTTTTGTTAAACAAATATTTTTTTCTGATCATAGAATCAAATTTTTAATAATAACTTTTTAAAGCTATTTTTTAAAAGGTTCTAATTCTATTGCTATTCTACAAAAATTATTTTATTCTTTTCTATTATTAATAATATTAACTTTATAAAAATTATATTTCTTTTTCTAAAATTCCTTTATTTTTTAAATAAAGTTTGTTGAAAGTTTCTATTTTAATGTTGGAATAATTTATTTTTTTTAAAACAACTCTTTTGTTTTTTATATTTGTTCTTTAACATTATTATTTTGATTGAATTTATCAAAGTTTATGTTTAACATAATTCAATTATGTTTTTTAAGTTTTTCATTGTTTTAGTTACATTCAAAAATGATGTTTGAAAACTTTTTAAAAATTTAACAGTTTTAAATTTTTATATAATGAATTTTTAATGAGTTTCTTTTTTTTATTATTGATGTTGTTGAGACAAATTAAAAGTCTTTTAACGTCAACTTATGGTGCTATGATTTAATGCCGAGTTTTTATAGGTGCAAATATTCTCTTTCTGGAGTTTACTGTTTTAGGTTTGATTTAAATCTATACTGAAATTCAAAAGTCATATTGTCTATATATTTATAAGCAATTATTTTAACAAGTTGATTCTTGGTGAAAGTATAGTAATAAAAATACATATATTTATAAGCAATGGTTTTAACAAGTTGGTTCTTGGTCAAAGTGCAATAATAAAAAATATATATACTTATAAGCAAAGGTTTTAACAAGTTAAATGTTGGTCAAACTGCAGTAATAAAAAATGTATATATTTATAAGCAATGGTTTTAACAAATTGATTCTTGGTCAAAGTGCAATAATAAAAAATATATATGCTTATAAGCAATGGTTTCAACAAGTTAAGTGTTGGTCAAAGTACTGTAATAAAAAATATATATTTATAAGCAATGGTTTTAACAAGTTAAGTGTTGGACAAGGTAATAAAAATAGTTTTAAGCAGGAGTCATAGACAGATTATTTTTTTTAAACTAAAAAATAAAATGTTTTTGATTTGAAACTCTCATGGGACAAACTATTAATACAAACAAAAAAAAAAACAGTTTCAAATAAGATGGTACCTTTCTAAACTTTTCTTTTAAAAGTCAATCTTGGTTCTAAGAATAAGATATGAATAATTATTTAATATAAAATTTAATATAATTTTTTTTTTATCTTATTAAATGTAGTTTTTGATTTGGAAACCTTGTCTTGTTAACCAAAATTTAAAAAAAAACTTTAAAAAACCAGCAACTTATTAAAAAACAGATTTTATGGAAATGTTTTCAGTCAATTTTTAAAATTGGCTGAAATTGGCTATTTTTTGAGATTTTAGTAAAAATACTTTTGAAATTTTTTTTGAACTTAAGGTCCTAGAGAAACTTAATATATATAAAACTAAATTAAAAATCTTTTTTTTACTTTCTTATTGTAACTAAACTTGCATTTAATAACTCATTTGTAAATTGAGAATATTAAAAAACAGTTTTAAAATTGTATAATTAACCTCAGTTAAATGTTTTCTTTTTAATACAATAATTAGTTTTTACATATTAAGTTATTAAGATAAATGCAGTTGTTTATTAAATAATGTTGTTGTTGTTGTTTTATAATAAATTTTTGAAAATGTTTAAAAAAAAAATTTATTTGAAAACAGTTTCAAATATTCTTTTAATTTTCTTAATGTTATTACAACAATTACTATCATTACTTTTTGTTTGTTTATTTTTCCTTGTTTATTATTATTATAGCCTGCAAGTTTTGATTTCTACATGTTTATTTTTAATGTATGTTCTATGTGTTTTAATCTATGTGTTTATGTTCTATGTCTTTGTGTTTTTTATTACTTATATTTAATAATTGATGTCACTCCTTTAATCAGACTTCTGTATGAGTGGCACCATCTTAATGAATCATTAACTTATTGTTATAAATATTATTATAACTATCATTATTTTTATTATTATTATTATTATTTTATTATTTTTTTATTATTATTTTTATTCATTGTTATTATTTTTAACATACTTATTATTACAATTACTATAATTTGTATTAGTTTTGTTTTCTTATATTTTTATAGTTAAAATATTTCACTTTTGCTTTAATAATTATTATTGTTTTGATATTTTGATATTATTATTATTTATATTATTATTATTAAGACTATTGTAAAAATGATTTTAGAAAAATAAATAGCTTGTAATAAAAATGTACATATTTCTTTCAGCAGTTGTATTAAATAAATTCCAGATAGGTTTTTATTTTTTCTTGTCTTAATGTTCTTAAAAAATGATTTTGTATTGTTAAGTGTGTAACTGTGCTACTTGTATTGTTAAGTGTGTTAATGTGAAAACTATTCCATATCTCTGTATCTGTATGTAAAAACTACCCTGTAAAAAGTAGCTTTTTGCATACTTTACCTAATTTTAAGTGTAAGATAGAGTAACAGCACTATAGGAATGCACCAGATATAGATTGAGTTTTAATCTTCCTTATGGACTCTTTTATAATTTTGGTTGTAATAGTTTTTAGGCTTTTGTTGTACCAATTATCATTGAATACATTTTGTAAATGTGAATTGTACAGAGTAAGCATTATGTATGTAACCTGTATAAATTATGCTTTAAATTTATAAGTCATAATTTGATCCACCATATCTGTTAGCTCTTAAAATACAATTTAGGACATGATTAACAATATCATGTCCTGAGGTGCATTTTAACAGCTAACATATATGGTGGATCAAAGTCTTAAATTGTGACTTAAAAATTTTAAGCATAGTTGATTAGTTTACTGAATCTTATGACTAACAAAATCATAAGGGGCAGCAAGTTAAGGCATTTAAATTTTATTAAAACATAATATTAGGGTGTTGTAAACAACTTTATCAATTATTTGAAATTCTCTATTTACAAATAGACAATGTATCAAGAAATAAATCACATTTTTAGAGTTTTAGTTTATAAATGCTGCTTAATGTATTAACAGATAATTATGTGCAAATTCAGAGAGTTATTTTGACAAATTACAAAGTAATAGAAAATAAAAGGTCATTTACTGCAACTGTCAATGATAATAGAACATTGACAATAAAAAGATAAAAAAATTGTTTACACATAAATGTTAAACTTATTATTGGTTGTCTTTTTGGCATAATTTTCAGACCTGCAGAATCTGGCTTAGCTGACTAACCTTATCTCAAAAATTCTTTATTATTTTTATGCAGTTGAGTAGCAAATTTAACAACATCAAGTATACCATAAAAGTAATAAATCTAGAGATTTACAATGTACTTTAAACCAGTACAAACAAATGTAAGAAACTTTAATATATAAAAAATCTACTTAGGGTCATTGCCATGCTTGCAATTGATGATTTATTTATACAATCAAATGTTCTTTTTCACTTTAAAGAAAATGCTTTTTTTTAAATATTTACATTTATCAGAAAAAAAGTTTTTGGTTAATAGTTATTTATTATTAGAGGTTAACAATAAATAAAAGTAGCAATAAGAAAATATCTTTTTTAATTTTTAGATGTTTACACATATTATTATCATGTTCAATTATACATAGTTACCATCTTCCAGAGAAATTGTTTATGAAACTTAATCCTTTCTTTTTATTATATTATTGTTTTTATTTTTTATTTTAATATATATATATATATATATATATATATATATATATATATATTATTTTAATGTTGCATATTTTGTTTGACTCTATGAATAAATGTATATAAATATCAATATTTTTTATAGCAGAACATAATACTTTATGTAATACATTAAAGTCTTGAATGTTATGTTAAATTATGTTGTATTTTTTCATTCAAATATGTTGATTATTTCCATTTATTTCACTAATAAACTGAAATAAATAGAAATAAGTATAGATTATCCTTTAAATTTAATGGAAATATATGTTTTTGTGTTACAAGCTCTATTGTTGCCAAACATGATAATTATGTGACATAGTTTACTTGATACTGTATTTAATTAGATGTCATTTATAATTAGATTAAATGTTTTTTTTTTTTTTTTTTTTGGTATTCACATTAATAAATACAATTTGTGACTTGTTGCTTTTTTCTAAAACTATAGAATCTTATATAGAAATACTTGTGTGGTTATTTTTTGTTTTCATAGATCACCACTGCAGCTCTGTCAGTTTTTTATTTTGATAAGTTATAACTTGAAATAATTTTTTTTTTGAGTTATTAAAATATGCTACACATGGAGTTTTTATCATTTAAAATGACCATTTTCATTTTTTGTCATATGTTTCTTAAAATAATCAGTAAAAGTTTTTAATGTTTTTATTAAATAAGTTATGTTTAGCTGAACATAGTTTATTTAAATAAGCTATTTTTCAATTGTATCTAAATACTAAACAGTGTACCAGTTTAATATTTGATTACATTACATTATTATGATAGACTTATAATGCTACATTATTTATGTGCATTGTACAAGTCTGCATACATCAAATAATATTTTTTATTAAACATCAGGTTTTTGAAAATGTATAAAAAATAGCATGACAGTTAATTTTTCTTTGTTTGCAGTTTTTATACTGATGTGGTTATTTCTATTAGACTTAAAAGTATACATGCAAATAAAGGTGAAAAGTTCTTTTCTAATAGGCAAATATAATTGAGACAAATTATTGTTTGTGTTTTTTTTTTTTTTTTATAATAAACTGAGATTTCTTGATGGTTAAAAATAATATTAAATTTAAAAAATTCTTATATCAGAAATTTCAATGTTGTAAAAAAACAACACTAATACATAATTTGATTGTCTAATGTTACTATCAAACCAAGTTTTTTGAGATTAAAACTTATTAAATGTTTTTTTTTGGGTATTATTAAAGAATTTAAAGGAATTTTTCAGATCTAGTGTGAATTCAATAGCTAATAAATCAGAATTTTTTTTTTTTTTTTACAGATAAAATAAAAACTTGTAAAATAGCAACAAAATGTTATTCTTGGTATTTTAATGATCATTTACAATTTTATTATCTGAGTTTTTTATAGAAATAACTGTTTATGTTTTGTATTGTTTTAATTAATTATTAAATGTATCCCAGTGAATAATTAGTGTTAACATTTGAAGTGTTTTTATTTAAGGTGTGATATTTATTGTTGTTGATGACAAATTAGCAAATTTATTGGACATTTTAAAAGATAATTTTTTTCAAATACTTTTTTTGTTTTTCTGTGTATGTTTGGTGTCATAACTTTTTGTTATTTGTTTTTCACTGGTTAAGGAAGATTTTTTTTTAAAGTTCATTTATTTAACTTGTTTTTAATCCTATATAACCTTGAAACCTCTGTGTTTCTTTGATGTTGTTTTTTTGTGATCATGTGTATGATCATATGTCAATAAAAGCTCAAAATGTGTTATGCCATGTATTAAAAAAGTTTAGAAATAATTTCTCACTCTTTGAGTGACAATAAATATTATTGGTTGAAAAAAATTTTAATAATACATATTAAAAATGTGTCTCCATAAATATAATAGGGTAATATTATAATATTAATATATAATATATATTCTATTGGATTAAAATATGGAGTATGTTATAGTTATTAATTATAAATGTAAAATAGTTTATTATGTAAAGTATGTAATATCAGTAATTTATCATTTGCTGATAAACATTTGAATGTGTCATTTTATACTTGTTTAAATAAACCTCTACATTATTTCTCAATGGTTTCTCAGGAATGCATGAGAAAAAGAAACTTTACTTGTATTAATGAAGTGATTTATGAGAAGACACATTCAAAAGCTCTGGTAAGCTATACAAGTTTTTTTTTAAAAAATTTTGATTACCAAATAGTAAAATTTTTTTAAATGCATTTTCTATACTTGCAGTTGTGTTTGATGTACATTTGCTTCAATGGATTTTTTTTTATAAATAGATTTTACTTAATAGAATACTAGATAGATAGAAACTGTGTTATTGTAAACATGTAAATACATAAGACTATATCACATAGATAAATATTGATTACTAGGTAAGTAAATAACAACATTATTATTTTGAAACTTAATGTTGTCGTTTAGCAATTTGAAGAATTTTTTGTAGACCGTTTCCTACTGTGATATAGACATAATTTTTAACTGAGAAAAAAATTGTCATTGAATTTTGATAAAATTTATAAATGTTAATGTTATATAACATAATAGATTTTACATGTTATTGTAAATAATTTTTATTTTTTTAATTTTTTTTCTGTGTATTTTTTAAATAGTGCCTTTATTAATAAATTCAAATGGCATTTATATGATTTAAGTTATGACACGAGACAATTTTATTTTCTGGGGTGTTTATAAAAATGGTTATTAAGGTTTGTGTACACACTCCTCTGTTGTGCAATTTTTGTTTACTTTACCATTAGTTTGATAAAATGAGTATTTGTTTAGTAGCTTTAGGAAATACAAGGTACAGTGTTGGTAAATCTTAAGTAGTTGACATTGTTTTTAAATTTAAAGGAAAAATGTTTATTAAAAAAAAAAAATTGTAATCTTGTAGATTCTTCTTTCCAATTATCTTTTATATTTTTTTAAAAAATAATTTTGTGTATTAAGATAAAAATCAAAATGAAAGTATTATGTCACAATAGGAAATTACAAATTACAATTACTTCTACATATTTGCTTGCAGTTGTGTTTTATATATATATATATATATTTTTAGGATTTTTGTTGAGTTTCAAGATAACAAATCATAAAGATAATATCTTTCAAAATCACAGTATGAATTCCACATCCAAAAAAAGTGTTCATTTTTTGGAGCCTTCTCCATTGATCCATCGTAAGATATGCAGCTATAATGAAGCCTTATCTCAAACAAAGCAAAAACACTCACAGGCTCAAGTTAATAAGAAAGAAATTGTTTCTTCTGTTAATAAGCAGTCATTAGTTCAAATGTTTGAAACAATTGGTGACAAGAAAAAAATTCAACTTCTCAATTCTCGTCAAAATGCATCAATAAATAGTTGCCAAATAGAATCTCAAAAAAAAGTTCCATATTGTGTTCAAAATAATAACATAGATAAAATAAACAAACCAAAATCTAACTTTTTAAATGAATGTGTAAGTTGTGAACTTATGTCTGATACAATAAGCAAAGCAAGTAGAGATGTTCCTAAACTAAATGCACTAAGAGACAATCAAAAACACAGTTTAACAAGTTCGGATTTGATCAAAGAGTTTCCCAGCCAGTTGAAACCAACTAAATCAGCATCTTTAACCCAAGAAAGTACAAATAAATTAAATATAAAAGAAACACAATTATTAGATTCTAATATAACTGGACAATCAAATGAGATAGATTCTAATCATCAAAGAAGCTGTTTAAGCACCAATGATACATTAAATCAACATGAATATTTCGTTAATAATAAAAATGTTAAAACTCCATTGTTTTTAAATAAAATAAACGAAAATTTAAAACTTTCAAATAATCATATTGCTACAACAAAAAATTCAATTAAAAGCAAAGATGATCAAACAGTCTCTTTTAATACGGTGAAAACAAAACAAGTAGTTTCTTCATTAAAATCCATAGAACGAAATCTTGTGACTTCTTCGTTAGATTCAGTTAAAAAAAAAATTGCTCCTACATTAGACTTTATTAAAAGAAATCACAAGTCTTCTTCTTTTGACTCTGTTCAAAAACATATTGATCCTGCTTTAGACTCTTTAAAAAAAAAATTAGACATTAAGACAGGTACTAATAGTAATTCACTACATTTAGATAATAACAAAGCAGATTTAAATGTTTTGTACTCAACTGAGTATCAAGTTACTAATGAAATTCAACTTTCTCCAACTGGTAATAAAGTAGAAGATAATTATGTTGCACATAACCAAGATATTGAAAATACTTTAACTTATGACAATGACACAAAAAATTTGGTAGTTAATGAAAATAAGAAAGAATCTATTTTACCAACTAGAAATAGTTCTTTTGATAATTGTGAAACAACTATTTTAAACAAAACTGTATTAGAAGAAAATTTTATGTGTGAAAATAAATCTAAAATTATAAACAGTACACAACTGGAGCAAATGACAGATAATTTCATTCAAGAACTTAATAATAACCAGGTAAAAGAATTGACTTGTTTATCAGAATTGAGTTCTTCAATATATACTTGTAATGAGGTTGGGTCTTCATGTAACAAAATAAAAGATCAGTTGTCAGTAAGTAATAAACTTTCAAATGACATTTCTATGTCGTGTTCAACACAATTATTGCCTAAAATTTCTATTTCTAAATCTTATGTATCATCTTCATCCTCTTCTTCATCCTCTTCTTCAGATTCAAGTGAAGGTAAAAAAGGTCGTAAAATATCAGTTATAAATAAAGTAAGCAATAGTGATTCTTTTTTATCGCCATATCAACAACCTTTCTGTGATAGGTCAGTAAGAAAAGAAGCAAAAAAGTCTAATCAATCTTTATATAAATCGAAATATGACTCATGTCAAGAGATTTTACGAAATAAAAGAGTTTCTGTAGATTCTGCTATTGAAACATCGTATCGTCCAAACTTTGTTTATTATAATGAGCTCCCTAATGTTCCATATTCTAAATTAAATGTTTTAGATTGGCAACAAGATATAGAAAATGATTATAACTCATCATCATCATCTGAAGACTCTTCTAATAATGCAAGACACAGAAAGTGTTCAATTGTAGATCGGTATCTAAACCAATCAGCCATTAGTAATATGTTAAATGGCTCTTCAAAAAGAAAACAATCAATAATGTCATCATTATGTTTAGAAAGTGAACGTGCAGATAATGAATCTGGATTTTTTGAACCAGCAGATTCAAAAACTGTATCAACCTCAGAAATGCATAAGAATTTCAAAAGTTTAAGTGATTTGAATGATTCTGATGTTTTTTTAAATCGAACTCGTAATTCATCATTTACTAGTAGCCTTAGTGATGAAACTGTTATAGAAAACAAAACTTCAAGGTCTTACTCACAAGAGGAATTTGATTGCTCTTCTAGCTTTAAAAAGTTTACGCCAAAACGCAGAAGTGGACTTTCTAGTATTTTATCTTTAGATGAACTATCAGAGCAAAATATACCTTTATCTCATAAGATGAGCAAATCAATGAATGAATCAGAATCAGTTTTCACTCATAAAGAAAATTTCTACCAAAAATCAGAATCAGTTTCTAATAGAAGACCATCTACAATATTTATGAATTTCAATAAATTTCAGACCAGTGGTTTGGATGTTGTAGCTGATAAAGAGACTCAAGATATAATTTCAGACAGTGTAGAAACATTATCTACTTTTCATTCAGATTTATATCGACCAGTATCAAAGTACTCTAGCTTAGGATTTGATAAGTTAAAATTTGACGAAGAAGAAAAAGAAGAAGGTTCTGAAACTGATCAAGATTCGTCTTCAAAAAAATTATTTTACTATAATAATGAAAAAAATACAAATATTGCTGATCATGTGCGAATTCTTAAAGAAGTTGTTCTTGAAAAACATGAAAATGAAGTTCTAGAAACTAAATGTTCTCATTTTACAGTTGTTTCAGAGCCAGTTATTAAAAGTAGGCTGTTCTTTTTTTTATTTTACTGTTTAGTGTTGTGACTAACACTTTGAAAAGGTTTTGTTTGTTATTTATATAATTTTTTTATAGCTTTTTGTGATGTTTTTTATATTAATAATTGTAATTAAAAATGTGTTACATTTCTATCTATTTAAGAATGGGATGGAGAAGAAATTTTTTTCGAAAAGAATTTAAATCCGGATGAATCAAAATCTACAACATTCTCCGCAATGGTATCTAGTTTATTATTACTGAAAGAATTATGTTTTTATTTACCAAAATGTTTAATATGTGTGTGCGCTTGTGAGTGTGTGCATATTTTCCCTGTATCAGATGGTAAATGTACTGAAACCCTCAGCAACTCCCTATTTTAGTATGATATCAGAGTGGTGATAATTTATATATATATATGTGTGTATATATATATCTATATATATATATATATATATATATATATATATATATATATATATATATATATATATATATATATATATATATATATATATATATATATATATATGTGTGTGTGTGTGCATATCAACCTTCAGAAATTAGATCGACAATAAATTGCCGTCCTTAAACTGTAAGAGGTCAGCAAAAACAATTTGACACAAAGGGGTTACCATAAAACATAGAAATGAGGTCAGCAATTTTTTTCCGAACTTAAATACTTTTAGGCATTTAGGTCTGCTTTGCTGAATGTCGACCTTAATTCCGAGGGCTGATATATATATATATATATATATATATATATATATATATATATATATATATATATATATATATATATATATATATATATATATATATATATATATATATATATATATATATATATATATATGTATATATATATATATGTATATATATATATATGTATATATATATGTATATATATATATATACATACATATATATACATATATATATATATAAATTAAATCATGTATATGTTATTTTAGTGCTTTAGTTTATATTTCTTTAAATTTTGCTTAATTCATTTGTTTCTATTTAAATGTTGGAATCCTTCACTTAAACGGCGTAAATTAAAATGTTTTTTTTTCGATTTTTGTGCTAATTAAAAATATGTCTGAAACAACGCACCCTTCCATAAATAAATAAAAATAAATCAAGTGAGGGCAAGGTTTAGGGTGATGAGGGTCATGATTAAGATCAGGTTTAAGGTAATTGCTGGTCCGATTTGGTGTTACGACATGGGTAAGGTTGTTCTAACTTGATATTTAACCTTAAATTTTATCCCAGAACCTGACCCTCAAATAAATGTTGTTGTTTTTTTATCTATGGAAGAGTGCGTCACATCAAATATACTTATCAGAGATGTATTAACCATGTGAAGATGTATTTGTGACAAGCACAAAAAAGCAAATATTTTTATTTTACACTACTTAATTGGAGGATTACCTAAATGTTTACTGCAGTTTTTTTAATTGGTACTTTTTTGCTTTATTTTTTTGTATTTTTTGTAGGTTATTTAAAGCCTTAGTATTAAATTTTTCTACTTAAATATTTAATATTTGTAAACTTTTCATCTGATAATATTTATTGTTTAGTTTGGTTATTTTAACTTCTGTTTGTATAACTTTATTTGTGAAGAATATACAAAAGAAAAATGGTGTGAGATAGTGTAAGTGTAAATCTTCTTCAATATAGTAACTATTTACATTTATTTGTTTTATTTGGTTGTATTTGTTGTCAGTATTAACACTTCTCTGTTTAGTTTTTTGACAATATAATAGCAAAATTAAATAAAAGTTTTATTGTTAAAATATCATAAAATGTGTTATTAAGCAAGCAGTATAAAATCAACTTTTTGACTAGCAGCTAGCTAATCATTAAAAAACAAAAATATAGATCAATATAATAAAATGTTTTGTTTTTATCCAATTAGTTGTTCACCAAGTAAAAAGTTATTTTTTCTGTGTGTGCCCTTAGCTGGTCTCTTTACTGGCTAATAAAATTTATAAAATCTTTTATAAATTTTCCATGATTAGCCAATAAAGTTTCAAATACACAATATTGTTTTAATGATTAGCCAATAAAGTTTCAAATATACATTATTGTGTTAAATGACTAAATATAACAGAACAGTCTTGAAATTATGAATAACAAAAATATGGATTGCTCCTTGTATAATTTTTTTATTATTATTTTTTTTTTCATCACAAAATTTTTTGTTTATAATAGTTCTAATGTTAAGTTAGTTATTATAAATTCATAAATTTTATTAATTTTTGAAATGATAAGTCTTCAGGAAAAAAATATATTTTGTTATTGTAATAGTATTTAAACTTTCAACCCTATATTTAATCATTGGTTATACAATCATGAACTAGTGAAAATACAATAGCAATAAGCAGTCAACTAAATTTAAACATCAAAAAGAAAAGTGTTCAAAGATGAGTAATTGCCTGCATTGATTGAAAGAGTTTGTTTCTATAACTACATTTTATATTTGAGAATATAAGAAGACTTTATTATAAGGATATCTAAGTTTGAAAGGTGTTTCACTTATACTTATATAGGATTTTTTCATTGATGTGCAACCAGGATTTGCAGATTTGCATTGGGAGTTGCTTGATATGCAACATTGTTTGTTAAACATTTATTAGATAAAGGACAGGTATTTTTATTAAACAATTGAAGTTTTTTTTTCGTGGTAATTTTATTGTTGTTTACAATATAACGATTGTGGGTATTTAGCTTTCATATTCGATATACAAATATAACTTACTTTTAATGTAAAATTTTATGCAACTTGTGATTAGTCTTTGTTGACTAAAGATAAATAGTTTTTTCTAATACTGGTGATGTTTTTTACATGTTTCCTCAGAGATTGATCTAACTAAGGGTGATAATAAATTGGATTGTTCATCAGAAAAATTAAATAAAATTTTGGTAGAAGATTTTTCAGAATATAATTGAATAGTGGTTGTTTTAATCATGACTTTTCTATTTAATAATAGAAATGAATCAGCATGAATTTAGTTTAATAAATTTTTAGGTTTAATATCTAAAGTGAAAATGTTGATCTAAATAAAAGCATGATGATTTTTCATTTGAGGACCAATTGTGTTTTTACAAATTGCTTAGTTCAACTTTTTAAATTATGGTATCTGAAATAAAAGAAATTCCCAAAATTCTTAACAACTTGCAAACCACTAAATAGCTGAAAGCTCCCATACAATAAATCATTCTCTTGATTGCACAATTTAAATCTGACTTTATTTTTTATAAAGAAAAGATTTTTTATATTATTAATCAATGCCTTATGTTTTTAATTCCGACACATTTCACAAAACTTTTAGTTTTGTGAAATCTTTATCAGGCTTGCTTTTAACATTTTGATTCCTTTTTCTTTTCTTTTTGCTAATAGAAAGAATAATTATAAGCTCAGCTTTTTTTTAATGCTAAGCTAAAACTGCGATTTTTTCAGCTAAGTATTTGTTAATTCTTTAGTATTTCTCATTATTTTAGAAATACATGAACATATTCTTCTGTTTTTGTTAAACTCTACACTTCATTTTTTGCAAGGTCCAACAAATAAACTGTTGCTTCTTGTTAAAAATAACTTTATAGTATTTTAGAATTAAGAAACATTGGATGATGATGATGAATAATTATTATTTCTACTTAAATATTGTGACTTTCACAACATTTAGACCTGGGTACTTAGACACAGGCTTCAGTATCTTATACACAGATTTCAATACATTGACTTAAGTTTAGAATTTATACAGGCATTATTTTTTCTCCATTGTTATTTTATTTCTGAAAAAAATTGTTAGAAGGAAAGTGCACAGAATAAGTGCTCTTTTTTGCACAATTGATCTCTACTATGCTTAGTACTTATATTGCTCATACCCAATCCCAAACCATCACATGACCTTTGTGTTCTTCTTGTCAATATATTCCCTTTTTAAAGACTTCAGAGATTGTCACCCCACTATTTACTTGGTTCCTTTATCATTTAAATTGTACTGTTTCCCCAGCAGGGTTGTATTATTAGCATAATATTAGTGTTTAATCTGCAAAATGTATGTTTGATATATATATATATATATTATATATATATATATATATATATATATATATATATATATATATATATATATATATAAATAAATATATATATATATATATGAATATATATATATATAATATAAAAATATATATATATAAATATATATAATATAAAAATATATATATATATATATATATATATATATATATATATATATATATATATATATATATATATATATATATATATATATACATACAAACATACATATATACATACATACATACATACATACATAAATTTTAAATAATTTTTTAGTAAAAAGCTAGAACTCACCAAAAATCAAATCTGGATGTTTAAAAAGCGTAATAATCGAATTTTTGATGATGAAGTTACTGATCAGGTTTTAAAAACTGCTTCTAAAGTGCTGAGTATGTATAAGATATACATTTTTCTTTATGTATTATTATTGTATTTTATTACTTTTACTTTACAAATTTCTAAAGTTATAATTTTTATAGAAAAAAGGTGTTTCGATATAAAAGCTTCATTAATATTGGTTTCTTGCTAATAAAAGATGAATATGAACAACTTTTGTTTTTTATTTAGATATCAATTTCAATTTGTTTCTTCAAAAGTTTGGTGATTATTATTTCTCATTCTCACTAGCAAAATATGGTGATCTGTTAAAATCAATTGCAACTAGTCTTTGTGATTTTATAAACAATATTGATGACATAAGACGACATATTCATAAAATTGAAAAAATTGCTGATGAGTATCCACCATCATTATATGCAGCACTTGATAAACAAGGGACGTTGATGATGTATTACCACTCTAATCGTGATCAAAGGTGTCTTGACTATTTTCTTATTGGCTTTATAAAAACTGCAGCTCGAGTATTATATGGAATGAAAACTCGTATAAGTCTTTATGAGTCCCGCAAAAGCTATAATGATTATTCTGTGATATCTATAAAAGCAGTTACTTCATTGGTTAATAAAAAAAACACTACTTTAAGTTTGCAATTTTCAACTCGACCATCAGATCTTTTTATGGAACCTTTTCAAATGGATTCTATTTTTCCATTTCATATGATTCTTGATAATAATTTAAACATATGTCAATTGGGCTCTTCTTTGAATCGCTTGCTTGAACGTTTTATACCTACACATGGTTTAAATATAAAAAAATATTTTCGGCTAGTCAAACCTTTGATCTCTTTTACTTATGAATCAATGAAAAGTAATTTAAATACAGTATTCATATTATCAAGTGTGAATGAAATTTTGTTTGATGGATTTAATAATGGTATAATTTTAAAAGGACAAGTGACAACGCTTGATACTTCTGATTGTTTATGGTTTGTTGGCTCTCCTAAAGTTGATCTTGTTTCACAACTTAATGGGGAAAGTAACTTATACTTGAGTGATATTCCTATTCATGATGCCACTCGGGAAGTTCTGTTAGTGAATGAACGCACAAACGAGCAAGACAATTTGAAAACTCAGTTAGAAGTACTTACTAATCGTCTAAAAGAGACTTCAAAAGAGCTTGCTTTGAGTAAAATGAATACTGAAAACATTTTAGATGACATTTTTCCAAAAGATGTTGCTGAAAGTCTTATGCGAAACTTACCTGTTCCAGCTGTAACAAAAGAAGAAGTATCTATATTATTTACTGACATTGTTGGATTTACAGCTATCTGTGAAAAGTCTGATCCCGCAGATATTACAGATATGTTGAACAATCTTTATATCGGATTTGATTTACTTTGCGAAGCTTATGAAGTTTACAAGGCATAATTTTGTTTTTAAATTGATATTTCTGAAAAAAATTTAACAATCTTTTTAGTATTATAAACTAATTCTCTTATGTTCTAAAATTTGAAACTCCCTACTAAGTGTAGCTAATTAGATGATCTTTTTCAGGTTGAAACTATTGGAGATGCTTATATGGCAGTTGCAGGTATCCATCAAAAAGATGTAGAACATGGTCGGTGCACCACAGCTATGGGTATCAGCATGATTACTCGTGCAAAAAAAGTTTTTGCGCCTACTGGCAATCCTGTTGAGGTTCAGTTTATGTTACACATATCTTTATTTGTTATATATATATATATATATATATATATATATATATATATATATATATATATATATATATATATATATATATATATATATATATATATATATATATATATATATATATATATATATAGATCCGGGTAGGTATTCACTCTGGTCCAGTTGTTGCTGGTGTGGTTGGTACAAGAATGCCGAGGTATTGTCTCTTTGGAAATAATGTTACATTTGCTAATAAAATGGAATCTACAAGTGAAAGTGGAAAGTTACATATCAGCCCAGTTACTTATCTGTAAATATATTAAAATATTCGTTATAAATTTTTAAATAATGATATATATAATAAAAACTATGATTCATAAGTTTTATTAAATATTGTTGAGAAATTTGTAAGATTTGTATATTATACGTGTGTGTGTTTATATATATATATATATACATTATCGTTTATATATATACATTATGTGTTTATATATATATATATATATATATATATATATATACAGTATCGAAAAAACAAGTGCAACCAAATAGTGCTAATTTAGTTTCTTTTTATAAAAGTGCTGCATTTTTTCAATTTAGAGAAATAACTATGTAACTGTTTAGAGACAACGTTCTTCAAGTTTTATTCATCACAAAGTTCATTATTTGTACACGAAAATTAATAAATTAATCAAAATACTTTTGATTAAATAATAAATTAATCAAAAGTATTAAAAAAAGCTGATTTTCTTCTGGACAAAACAAGTGCAACTCCACAAAATGTTGACCAAGCTGTATTTCGCTATCAATATTTCGTGGCGAATCCTTTGTTGTCGATCACAGCCTTGCATCTTCAAGGCATAGATTTGATCAGGTAATCAATGAAACTTTGTGGAATCGCTGCCCAGGCCTTTTGGATTTGTTCAAACAGTTGATCCTTATTACAAACACCTTCACGATTAATTCTGCGGTTGATGATCTCTCACAGGTTCTGATAGGATTGAGATCCGGAGATTGAGGCGGCCAATCCATCACCGATAGATTGTTGTCTTGAAACCACTGCTTGACTACTTTTGCATTGTGTTTTGGATCGTTGTCTTGCTGAAAAACCCATTTTATTGGCATATTCCATTCAGCATGAGGTAACATAACATCTTTCAGGATATTTTTATACATGAAATGGTCCATTATTCCATCGTTTCGATGTATTGGACCTAGACCGTTAGCAGAAAAACACCCCCATACCATTTCATTGCCTCCACCATGTTTCACAGTGTTATGGCAGTAGTGTAAATTGAGGCGTTTTCTGGCCAGTCAACGTACATGGCAAATGCCATCGCTCCCAATTATGTTGAACTTCGATTCATCACTGAACAGGACAGTTTGCCATTTCTGCACATTCCAGTCAGTATGAGATGTAGCAAACAGGAGTCTTTTCTTCTGGTTCTATAGTGAAATCAGTGGTTTCTTTGCAGGGCGTCGAGAAAGCAATCCGGCTTCAACAGCACGTTGTCTGATTGTTCGGTCCGATACAGGCAGCTCTAATTGCTTTTGTATCTCAACTGATGATATCCAGGGATCCTTCTTGATGGATCTGACGATCATAGAATCCTCTCTAGAAGTGGTGGAACGCGGTCTTTCACCTTTTTTTTCTGCTGCCAACTTCCCTGTAGAACAATATTTGGAACATGATAGGGTCCTTTTTTTCATGCGATATTAATCACAAACACTTTTTTGTGATATTTCACTTGCGTAATCGCCAATAATTTTCTTTCTTAGTTCCAATCCAAGACTGTCGGGAGCCATTTTTGCACTTGAAGTCATAAAAATAATAAAAATAAATAATCACGCTTCTCAAGGCTTACCGTGTTACCTTGTGATGATACAATAATGCTCTGTGGAACACAACGTCTTGGTTGGATGTGGACAGGTTTGATATAATGAAACACTTGTTGTATTGAGGTTCTTCGATATAACACTTTGATAAAACTCACTTTGATAAATTGTATTAATAATACAGACTGATTGACTTCCATATACTGACTGAATTACACGTCGTTTACATAGTAAAATGTCTCTTATATAGTAAAATGCTGTGTGAACCTGTTCTGGAAGATTCTAGATGCTTCTTTTCGATGCTTCTGGATGCGTCTGGATGTTTCTGAATATTTCTGGATATTTCTGGATGTTTTCAGATGCTTCTGTAAACTTCTGGAAGCTTCTTCTTGCTTCTGGAAACTTCTGGATACTTCCTTTAATTATTAAAAAATTTCCGTGACGTTGGCACGGACCAGACTTAAGAAAATGAAACAAACCAAAAAAGTTGTACTTGTTTTGTCCGCTGCAAAATGGCACTTGTCAACGAAATTCTGCTTGTGTGCTGTCACAACTCAGCTGATTGCTCATGTCATGGCATGCTATGACTCCAGACTCCTGAACTGTTTGCTGTGGTAGTATAGTTCGTTTCGTTTTTAAGACATGTAAAATTAGGAACACTTTTTAGCATTGTTCGATGTTGGTTGCAAATGTTTTGTCTAATACTGTATATATATATATATATATATATATATATATATATATATATATATATATATATATATATATATATAATATATATATATATATATATATATATATATATATATATATATATATATATATATATATATATATACATACATACATATATTTATATAGAGAAATCAAGCATTACGAAGAATTTGTATTTTTTGAAAGACCTCGCGAAGTTATGCCAGCGATGATGCAAAAAAAATACCAAGGAAATAGTTATTTTGTTACCCAACGAAGGGTTTCTCAGTTCCAATCACTGCCTAATGGACATGGTGAAAAGCGAAGGAGTTTTATGATGCCGATACGACGACCTTCAGAGGTCAGTTTTGTAAATGAATCTGAAGAGTTAGGTAGTCGTTGTCCTAGTCCCACAGAAAGTGTACTTTCCGATCATGACATATTTCCTGAAGAACTTCGTAAGCAGTTGGTTGCGCTCGAACTTATTAACGGTTATCAAAACGGAAAATATTTTCATTTACCTAAGATAGGAGCTGCTTAAGCTAAAAATAATCTATTTTTTTTTTGTTTTGTTTCAATAATATATATTTTTTTCAATTCTTTTTAAAAGAAAAAATTGTAAATAACATTTTGTAGATTTTAATGTTAATACAGATGTATTTATAATGTTCATAACATTCGTTGGTTTTCAAATTTGTTGTATTTACTTGCTACACTAACTAAATAGTAAAGTGCAAATCCAAATAAATATCTTCCCATGATTTTATCAACATAAATTCCTTAAAACAGATTATTATCATATGCTAAAATTTCTCCGGGCTTGAGTTTTAATTGAACTCGAGTATTTCTATATTATATTCAATCAACACATTTTTAAAAAAATCTTTCTTAACTTAATTTGTCCTAGAATTTACTTATCCGGGTACGGTCTAAAGGCTAAGTTTGTTAAACTACTTCATGGTTGCACTCCAATTATGGTTGCCAGTTGTCCGGCTTTTACAAAGAATAACACAGTAAAAAAAATTATTTTTATAGTTTTGGCACTGTATTCTTCAACGTAAAAGCCGGACATCTAGCGACCTTAACTACAATCAAGTTTCGTCACTAATTTTACTATTTGTTCCTATTATATTATTATTTTCTATTATATAAGAAATTTTATTAATTATATTATTGTTTTTTATATCATATATGCTATTATATACTCTATTTTCTTATTGTATCGAATTACATATATACTATTTTTTCTTATTAAATATATATATACTATTTAAATAATGGCCTCAAAGAAAAAATCTTTATTTAGTGTGTCAAGTTTAACCATGAAAGTATAAAACAGACGGAAGTTCAACCGCATTGAAATGCTTCGGGACTATGCCCGTAACCTTTTGTTTCGTAAACATCAAGACTTAAATGATTAAACTTTATACGTTGACGCAAATAAATACGTATATAATAATTTAAAAATATAATATTTTGTCAATAATATTCAAGTTAAAAATGGCGACATTGAAACGGCAAATAACAACATGGAATTATGATATACAACTAATGAAACTTTGAGCTTTGGTTATTTAAGAAACATTTTTTTGATTTTTTTTTTTAATTGTTTTAGCAAGAAAAGGAGATTTCACTAACATATGCTTTTAAAATAAAGTGATTTTATTAAACTACCGAGTTTTAGTAATACATTATGTTTAATAATTATAAATACAAATGGTTAAAACTATGTAGTGCATCCTTAGAACAACTTTTTTTTAATGTTTTAATAAAAAAAATTTCAGTAATTTTTTTTTGTCCAATGAAACGAGTTTTTTTTATTGCCGGTTACAAGCATACATCCGAGACGACTCTAATTTCTTTGATGTTTGCCGCCTAATGAACTTCCATCTGTTTTATACTTTCATAGTTTAACCGAGTCACTACTTAAGTTTAACCAAACCATTGCCTAACGGGGAAAGAGCACGAAATTGCTAGCAGCAGTTAATCACTTTTTTAAAAACTTAATGCACGTTTACAGTTGAAAAGAAAAGATAAAGTCAAATTTGGATACATACTCATAAATTTTGACGGAGAACTCTAGACTTGACTAAGGAAGTTTTTTGAGCTTGCTTGTGTACCTTAGCTTGAGTAAAAAGTACGCGTCGTCATTAAAAGTTCAACCCTGGTAGTCAAGTTACCAATATATAGTAAATCTATGGGCAAAAGAGACGTGATCCTCCGCTCACCACGTGCTCTGCTTAAGTATCTTAACAATAGACAACACTTTTTTGTTGCTGTTTAAAAAGAGGACTGGTAAATATTAAGATAGCACCACGTTATTATTTTTATATACTTCATTATCAACAGACATTATATTGAAGGGATAATAAATGTCAAATAGTGTTGACGATTAATGTCAAGACAGCGACATATTACAGTGGCTCCAGTAAATGGAAAAATGCAGTTAAGTCAGGCAAAATAAATATACCTCGAGATTTTCGCTTTTTTTGATTACAAATAGAAGATTTAACAAGGGTTTAGCATTATATATAAAAATACAGTTAATGATAAAATATAATGGATTTTTTTATTTACCGTTAATAAATCAAAGGGGGAAAAAAGCATCCAATCATCAAAATTTGATAATCGCTTTGCAAACAGCGGCTTTCACTATTATACTATAAAACAAACATTTATTTTCATTTATGTCAAATAAATCAACTTTTGGTAATTAAAATTGATTCAAGATCAAGTCTTGTATTTCCAAGACAAAGAGATCAACTCTTTATATGACTGTTTTTTTTCTTACTTTAGTTTAAAGTTTATGCAGATAAAACTATTTTTTTTTAATTGTTTGTTGCATGCATTTTTTTAATTTACTCTAATGGCCTAGTTTTGGTCTGCTGTTAATCTGTAGAACTTCTTCTTCTAAAATTTTCCCCCATTCTACTCTTGTATATAATATTATACAAATGAGGAAAAAAAATCCTTTTTGTCTAAAATTAAAAATGTTTTTAAATTTTTAAAAGTTAACATAAAGATTTTGTTCTATTATAAACAAGCTTAAAAGTTTTTTTGTTTAAATATTACACAATAAGTAATAAAATTAAAAAAAAAAAAAAAAGATATTGTGGCACGATGTTTTTTATTACAGTTCGAAATTAACGGAAACAGATATTTTTTTAAAGCTGTTACCACGCAGTTCTTTCTTTCCTTTTATACAAACTTGTTTGAAATTGCGTCGGCTGATTGTGTAGTTAATTCCATCGGCTGTTTTTATTAAAGTGTTTTACCCGCCATGTTTACCAGTAATAAAAAAAAGAGAGTCAACTTGTAAGTTGTTGTAAATGTCAAGAGATTACCATAAAGACATCTTTCTTTACAAATTTTTTTTTCTTCATTATCCTTGATGCTTTAAAAAGAATTTTAAAAATAAATATGAAAATCATTGAATGAGTTATTTTATTTTCTTTTACGTCAGTTTTTTTCTACTTGCTAGACAGACTGATTAAAAAGGAAACTTTGCGCGATCAATTTTTTTTAAACTTTTCGCCTTATTTCGTAATTTATTTCCAAAAAAAGATTTTTGCATTACTCGAAATTAAAAAGTTTTACATTTAAAAACCTACATACGTTTTTTTTTTAAAGCTTTTTATAAAGTCGATGTTTTGAAAGAATACTTTCTAAAAACATCAAGAAACTATTGCCATAGGATAACTAACAAAATATGTGGTCCTAAAATTTTTAATTCCTGCTTATTTACAGGTTTTTTTGTTTGCTAGAAATAAGGCCTAGAAATAAAATTTTGCCGACTAACAGAATATCTTAAAAACTAAAGAAGAAAAAATAAGGTCCTCGTTGGCTGATAGTTGCCTACTGCCAACAACAGATCCAATTTTGCCGACTCCGGTGACCAAATTTGCCGACTAATTTTTGGATACAATTTTTCTTTGGATATTGGACACCCTCTACGCCCCCTTAGGACAGCCCTGGGAGGGGTACAATTTGTTTGTAGTATTACCTTTGTTTAACTCTAAGATGGTTGAAAAAATCGTGACAATCGTCAAATTACGACGTGATTGCGACGTAATTGCATAGTAAAAAAAAAAAATGCATTTTTACTAAATAAATCCTTTTTGGCAATAATTTTTTTCACTTTGATAGTTTCTTTCTTTCTAGGTCAACTTACACAGACCGCGAATGCCATTTTTTTCTACTTTTCGTAAAAATAGAGAATTTTACGGAAAGGGTAGGTGTTCAAAAATTTAATCTTTTAGAATGGCTTTATGATATTGCATTTATGGTTAATTGTTTTTTGTAGAATGGGTTTTTGGTATTGGGTTTGTGGCTGATTGTTCTTGTATAAAGTAAATACAAGCATATTACAAGATCTTCAAAAGTTAAGCTATGCAATTGAGTTCTGGAACTCAATGGAGCAAAGAAAATATTCAAAGATATTCTTGAAGTAAATATTCCAAGATAAAAACTTATTTCTTCTCAAAAATGTAACTTTATAATAATTTACCTTGTATTATACATAGCGGGTGATTAATAAATAAATATATATTGAATAATAAAGTTAGTAATTAAGTTAGTAAACACAAGCATATTGAATAAATCTGTCAGTATTTTCAATTTTATTTAATTTGCTCGTATCAGTTGTAACTGACTGCATCTTTTAAAACAGATTCCTTCTAACAGACTAAAATACAATAGAAACGAATAGCAAGCTTTTTTTCCTACAAGTACCTGTCATATAAAACAAATTTGCATAGTGGTTATATTAAATGCATCGTAAAAATACACTGTCATAAAAAAATTACGTTTTTAATTTAATTTACATTTTTTGTGTAAAATTTTACAATTATGCAAATTACAAATGTAATGCTGAAAAAAAGTAATGTACTATAAAAGATATTCTGTATTTGATTTAACTGTTTTGAACCTTTATAAAATGAAAGCTTTATATAGCGGTCGTGGCTTAGTGCTGAAAGCGCTTGTTTTAGAACCTTGAAGTCCGACGTTTAATGCCAGCTCTTGATATATTTGCAACATTGTTAAAGAAGGAGGTGCAACTTCATGGTTTTCCGTCTGACAAGACCATAAAGACTTCATGGAGCACTTTAATAACCAGGTTTAACAAAAAAATATGATATAAAGCCTTTTTAAAAACAATGCGGTTTTATAAATTGAGAAATACTGATATTTTTAACTTTTTTTTTTCTTGGCTTCTGCATAGAGTTATTTAAATGTGTAAAATTTTGAGTCTTAATTTAAATACTTTAGAGAGATGCTTAGACAAATAATAACGCACTTAAAAGTTATTTGTTTTGTTTCAAATATTACTACAGAATACATGTAGTGTTTGTATTTCCTAATTTTAATTGTGCAATTGCTTGTAGTTTGTTTAAGAAGTGTTTCAAGCTTTTTAAACTGTTTCCTTACATTTTCTGTATTCCTTGAGAACAAGGCTAATAAATAACAAAACCCTAGTATTTTGTGTAAATAAAAAATATTTAGAATTTTTTTAAGTTTAAAACAAACTACTAAGTAACTTGGCTTTGTTGTATATATTCATATATATGTGTATATATTAGGGTGTGTCTAACTGTTTACGCACAATTTTAGAGCAAAACATCTTTTTTTTTTTTCTTCTTCTTTTAGACAGGGAATGTGATGGTATTATATATTATATATTATATATATATATATATATATATATATATATATATATATATATATATATATATATATATATATATATAATATATATATATATATATATATATAAACTAACATGTCTTGCACAGAGGATCCGCCTTTTTTCAAAAAAAAATGAGTGATGTATGACTAACTAGCAGAAGGAACTGTAATTAAAAAAAAAATATTTGAATAATTTTAAAATTTTAATATTCAGTACGCTGAATTTCAATAAAACTCCATATTCATTAAAAAAAATCATAAAAAGTGATTTTTATTGGGTTTTTAGAAAAGTTAAGCAATATTACTTATCTAAGGTATATTGTTTGCGCCTCTTAAAAAAGCGAACGAGTTTCTATGTTTTATTTAAAACTTGAGGTTTTAAATAAAACACAGACACTTTTAGTATCACAGAGACAACGCCAAGAGGAGGGGGGGGGGACGAAAGGGACAGCTTGTCCCAGGTGGCAGATATCCAAATGAAAAGGAGGTACCTAAAATAAAGGTCCTTCATCTGTAGTATAAGGAAATTTTGATAAATAAGGATGCCAATCAGGGTTGTTATTCCAGACGGCGTGACGGCTCTTGGCGGCCCTGCATAGAGGTATTATCATTTCTCTCTAATATCTAGCACCTTTTTCTTTATCATTGAATCGTTGAAAACAAAAGAATCTGTACAAATATTTCACCAAATAAAAACCATGCAGATCTCTTTAGAGTATTCATTTATTCAACATCTTATTTTGATGTTTTATTCGTTTCAATTAAAATAAAATATTTGAAACCAGCAAAGGTAGTAAACAACAATGAAATTGATATTCAAACGTATGTTAAATGAACCCACAATCTACAAAAACGGTTGACAGTAATTACTCATCTGGTAATAGAGTTACATTATGAAATTATTTAAAATTAATCATATAAAATGTCTTTTATAATGTCTTACATAAAAAATGATCTCTGCCCCCAATGTAAGAATCTACCCCACATGATGAATAAATGCAAAAAAGTACTGCCACTAATAAAATACACATTTGCTCTTATCCGAAAAATCAACCCAAATCATCCACCCCTTAAAAATATCTTTAAATCTTTTCTTTTTGCTTTATCACCTTCTGTAAATAGTTTTTATATTGGTAAAATATTATTGAATAAACTTTTCTTTAAACTATATTGTAATAGAACGAAGTCATTCCACGAAAAGTCCATGTTTGCGAGAGTGACTTTTAGAAGAATTCCAAAACAAAATCAAAAAGATTTTGTTTCAAGAATTCGAAATTTCGAAGCTAACAAATAAAAAGGATTTTTTTCTATTAGAACTTGCACAAATCTGGAGCAACGAAAATAAAAATAATATAAAAATGATCAACAATCTTTTTTTAAACTGAAACGCCCAGATTATTTTTTTCGAATTCTTTTTTTACTTTTTCGTTTTTTTCTTCGTTTTTTTTTTCTCATGTAGTCTCTAGAGATTATGTCTTTTTTTGACCTAGTAGTGGAACAGTAGACCGCCTTGTAAATATAACTACTGTATTCTTTATTAAAACTCTGCACGGCAAATGCCTGAGGAGAATAAACTTCAATATATCTTTTTAAATGTGCCAACTTTTGTTTTTTAAATAAGAAGCTAATTTCTTAGAAACTATTACTAGAAACCCAAAAGTTACTTCTTTTTTAAAAAAAATATTTTTCGTCGTCGAATTTAAAAAAAAACGTGTAAATAATTTCGATTGTTAAAAAATAAAATACTTATTATTAAGATTTTAACGACAAAAATGGCATCACGTAAATAAATATATATTTATTGTATTGTTTTATACAAAATTCATTTATTTCAGTAATAATACATTTTAAAAAAGATTTAATTTTAAAGTTTTGAGAAGTGAATGATTTTTTTTTCCCTTCTTAAGAAACTCTTACGCAGTAATAAAAAAAACTCGTAATTTTTTGTGACTAAAAATTTATAAACTTCTGTCGATAAAATTAAAAAAAAAATTTTTTTAACTTTAAACAAATTATCAAAACTTTTAAAAAATTTAAATAAATTTTTCAACTTATTTTTATTATTTTTAAAAACATTAAAATTTCTAAATCTTATTGAAAAATAGTAGTAATATTTGTTTAACATTGTGTAATCCGGTAGCCGATTACTAAAATTATATTAGCACTTACAGTTTATAGATACATTTTTTTAGATGTGTTTTATTGTTTGAGATATTTTCCAAAAAACAATTAGATTAACCTAAATTAACAATTAAAGGTAATTTAACTCTAGGGAATATTTGTTTGATATGTTTTTGTTATTTATCTATGAAATGAATCCTAAGAATACGATGTAAGTTTCAAAAAAAATTATTTTTCGAACAACTGCATCCAACAATTACACTTATAAATAACGATGAAAAAAGTTAATAAATAACAGATTCACCACATTCAAATATACAAACAACAAAATGTGCAAATCCATCACACGACTTTCTTTTTTGACCAAAACAACCAACCGCGCGCGCGCAAAAAAAAGATGAAACAAGTTAAACGATTATCATGCGTTGGAACTTAATCTAAATCGTTAGATATTCAAATAGCTAAAGAAATTGCAAAGGATAGAAGATATCAAACGTAAAGTAAAGTCAAAAGCAAAAATAAAGCTGCTAAAAAAAAAAATACAGGAAAAAAAAGAAATATATAAAAGAAAACAAGCTGTTTGAGAAGAAAATAAAAATTAACGACAAAAAAGGCACAAATAAAGAATTTGAAAAGAAAAAAAGCTCTGATTCATACAGAAGCTTTGATGAATAGTTTTTTTTTAGAATTAAATTAAAAAATCAAATCTTTCCATTATTTAATAATCATATTAAATTTATGCATTTTTACCTAGCTTAATGAAATTTTCGTTCGCAGTACCGTATCGCGGCGGGTAAAGAAACGTACTTGAACTTACAAAAATTTAAAACTAACATTCAAAATACAACTTTGCACAAATGTGAATAATAGAAATTAAATAGCAATCGAGAAGAAATTATGTAAACCCGAAATTTAAATCTGTTACGGTTTTGGAGTTTTTAAGTAGAAAATTTTCCTAAAATCACGGTAGGGAGACCGAAAATAATTGCAGATAGAGGGCACCCATAAAGTTCGTACGCAGTCAAATAAATGATTTAGAACCCTCTTCCTTTAAATGCACATGTATGCTTTCAACGACCTCCCCCTTCCGTTGCAACGCAATATTTTTTCTTTTAAGTTTCAAATCCATTCCATATTTGGGCCGAAGTGGGCAGCTTTATGGAGCCCAAATGGGTTGCCCACATCCTGCCTAAGGAAAATTGTCGCCGGGCGTGAATTGGGGCCCAAGTGGGCGGCCCATATGGGCTGCATATGTGGGACCCACATGGGTCCCACTTTTTTATTTGATTAAATTTTTCATAACACTTTGAATAATTAATCATTTATTATTTAGGTACATATAATTTAATATGTAGTCATAAATATGTCGCGTGAGTCTAGCTTTACAGAAGTAAAAAAAAAATCAAGTATAGGTATAGAATATAGGTATAAATATAGAAAAAGAATAGGTAAAAATGTTAAAATAGGTATAAGTATAAAAAATATATTAGTAGAAAAAGCATAGTTGTAAATAGAGAAAAAGGCAAACAGTAATAAATAGATTTTTTCTCAATAAATTTTTTCTTGATATTGGCCCAACTTTAGCTGATAAAATTCCAAAAAACACCTCAAACTTTGAATCTTATATGAAATCAATCAATACATCTATGAAAGAAGTAAAATTAAACATAAATGAGTTGCGAAATACATTCAGCTGTCTAAAAAGTAATAAATGCGCTGGCATAGATAATATTAACGTGAATGTTGTTAAAGCAGTGTTTGGTATTATTGAACCGTCACTGTTTTACATTTTTAACCTTTCACTAGAATCCGGTATTGTACCGGAGAAATTAAAAATTGCTAAGATCATACTTATTTTTAAATCTGGCGATGACACGATTATGTCTGATTATAGACTATTTCTGTCTTACCATGTTTCTCAAAATTGTTAGAACGAATTATGTATGATAGACTTAATACTTATTTAACTGAGAACAATATAATGTATAACAAACAATTTGGGTTCAAAAAGAATCATTCAACTGATCATGCGGTAGTCGATCTAATAAATTATATATCCAATGGGTTCAATAATGATTGCTATACATTAGGAGTTTTTATTGATTTGTCAAAAGCATTTGACACTGTAAACCACAATATTCTTTTAAAAAAACTAGAACTGTATGGAATACTTAATAATAACTTACTATGGTTTAAAAGTTACCTGTCAAACAGAAAACAATGCATATTATATACAGCAAATGAAACTGAAAATCATATTATAACTTGTGGTGTTCCCCAGGGATCAATCCTAGGGCCGCTCTTATTCCTACTCTATATTAATGATTTATACTTAGCATCCAAAGTTTTAAATGTTATTTTGTTTGCTGTTGATTCGAATTTTTTTTACTCACACAATAATATAAAAGAATATCTAACGAAGAGTTATTAAAAATAAATGACTGGATTACAAATAATAAACTTTCATTAAATGGTGAGAAAACTAAATTTATCTTGTTCCACAAACCTCGTAGGGGAGATAACCTTTCTCTAAAAATACCCAATCTCTTTATGAATAAAACAATTATTAAAAGAGAGACAACTGTTAACTTTCTAGGAGTGATTATAGATGAAAATTTATCATGGAAATATCATATTAAATCTATTGAAAACAAAATCTCCAAAAATATTTTAGTGTTATATAAAATTAAACCATTTCTTAATATTGAGTCTTTAAAAATTATATATTTTTCATTTATTCATAGTTATCTTTCTTATTGCAATATTGCATGGGGAAGTACTAATTATGGGAAACTTAAAAAAATCTATAGCAAACAAAAACATGCATGTAGGATTATATTTGGCGTTAACAGAACTGTTAATGGTGAATCTCTTCTAAGCGAACTTAATGCACTTAATGCTTATAAAATTAATATATACCAAGTTATGCTTCTAATGTTTAAATCAAAACATGGTTTGTCTCCTAATATATTTCACTCTTACTTCACTGAAAATACTCATAAATACCCCACAAAATTTTCAGTTGATATGTTTTTTATTCCAAGATCTTATTTAAAACTCAGCTCATTTCAAATTCAATACCGTGGACTATTTATATGGAAAAGTTTTTTGAAAAATATTATTAAAAATAAAACTCTTCTAAGCTTCTCCCTAGAACAATTCAAAAAAGAATCTAAACGTTTTCTATTAGGAAAAAACTTCGATTTTAAAAATTTCTTTTAAAAATAGTACCTAAAATAATTAAACTGAAAAAGTCATCACTTATTTTTGACTCTCTTAAAAAAAGACTCTCTTATTTTTGTCTTGATTTATTTCTTATCTATAAATAATATATATATATATATATATATATATATATATATATATATATATATATATATATATATATATATATATATATATATATATATATATATATATATATATATATATATATATATATATATATATATATATATATATATATATATATATATATATATATATATATATATATATATATATAATTAAAAAAAAATATTTATTTATATATCTTATTATACGATTTACTACTTGTAATATATTGTGTTGTATTTTGCAATTATTAACTTGTTACATAAACTGAAGGCAACAATGTAAACGGGGCTTGACGATAAGACAATATACGTCTTCTTCTTGCTCCGGCCATATATTATATATGTACGATCTTTCTTATTGTAAATTTTATCAAACGGCAAAGTAATAAACATTAACAAATATTTTTTTTTTTTTTATTTTTATAAAATTTATTTCAAAATAATAATTATTTACAAATTTATATACTATTTTTGCATAATAAATAAGCTCGTAATATTAAATGGTTTTCCACATAAGATTTACATATATATTCCAATATATATACCTAATTTTTTTAAAATAACTTTCTGACTTTATATATATATATATATATATATATATATATATATATATATATATATATATATATATATATATATATATATATATATATATATATATTTGTATTTTTTGATTATGTATTTTTTTATGTTTTTTGATTTTGTATTTTTTTTTTGTCAAGTGCCGTTGTGTGGAGAAAAGTCGACAGAATTGATAAGGTTGAAGAGTTAAATGTTTAAAAAAGGTTTCCCGAAGTTTTTGTTTAAAGGAAGAAGTTTATATTAAAAATAATAAATAATTTAACAGGACTTTTACACAAAAACCACGTTACGAACGCTACAGAAAATACATTTAAAAAAAGGAAAATATAAATGATAAAATAAAGGCTAGCAGTGATTATTTAATCATAATTGATAATATTTTGTTGTGAAAATAATAATTTGCAGAGATAGGGAAATCTTTACTAAACATATAGTTTTTGCGATGAGCTGGTGTAATTATTTAGCTCATATGTTTAGTTTCAGATTCCCATTCTCTACTTGACAAATTATATTTTTAATAGAGAAAAATTGACAAAAATTGTCCGTAGTGTTTCTACGGACATGATAATTATATTTTAAGGTAATAATATTCCTGATGTTCCTGATTATTACCCTGATCACTGCCATAGGGATGATTTTGGAATTGTTGAACATGTGGTGGCATCTGCTGTTCCATATCTCACTCATGATGGTTTGAGTGAGTGTCAGCAGCAGTTGCGAGGTAGGGTTTTTTTCCGATAAATTCGCGGTTTCAATAGAAAAAATCGAATTTATTGAAGAAAAGTTGTTTTGGGATGTCAAGGAGTTATATACATGTTTAAAATACTCCCATATTTCAATAGAGGGAGGAAAGTTGGTAAATATGTGGAGATTGTCCTCGACTTTACCACAAGTTTTGCATTTGTTGTTTTTAACGATCTGTTGCCTTCTGCTTTTGGCTAGCAAGGCCGCAGAAGGTAGACTGTTGTGTAAAAATCGAAAGAGTATGTTTTGTGGCGGTCCGCATGCGTGGGAGGTAAAGTTCTTTTTCCAAATTTGGGTCCACGGCATTGTTGTTTTTGTTGAACCGTTCTAGAAAAGTTCTGCTGGCACGACTGTCTTTTTGTTTTTTGCCACTTCTAAATAAAAATTTTTGTTGATTTTAAGGGGATGTTAAAAAGGGACCCGTTTTTGCGTAATATTTCAATTGTTGTTTTGTAGTACTGAGACATTTTGTTGTCCCAGTGTTTGGAAAATTGTTCTGTTTCAAAAAATTCCAGCTTTGGTTTTGGTTAGTAAACTTTATAAGTGAACTTGCTAACCAGTACTTTGAAAAGTAGTAGTAATCGTGAGTGTTATCCTCTCCGCATTCTTTCAGTTGAAAGAGTGTTTTGAGGCAAAATGCAAGGCTTTGCTCCTTTGGTGATGAAATTCCGAGACCCCCGTTTTTCATGGGTAAAAATAGTGTCTCTCTTTTGACCGGATTGAAATCGGTCTTTTGCCACAGCTTTTCAAATATGGCTCTGTGTAAACGTTCTATGACATTGCTAACGTATTTATCAACATAGTCTTTCCCCTAAGTGACAAAGTACGTAGTCCCAGAAACTTGAGTTTTTTCTCTATTTTATTTAGAGTTACTAGCCATTTGAAATTGGTAGTATTACTCAGTCTGGTATAAAAGGTAACACCCAAAATTTTTAAACCGATGTTATTGGTCCACTCTATGTTGTCCAATTTTGAGTACATTTTAAGATCAAAACCCGCAAGAGCAAGACCCTTGGTTTTTGAGGCATTGATCACTGAGCCACTTGCTTTTTCAAATAGTTTTACTGTTTCGAAAAAAAAGTGGACTGATTTTACGTCCCTGCCAAAAAAGTTCGAATCGTCTGCGTACTGCTGTAATTTAAGGGGTTTTGGTGTTCCTGGTAGTGGGAATCCCTCGATTCTGCTGTCTGCTCTGATCACCAAAGCGAGAGCTTCAGCGAAAAAGACATACAACAAAAGAGAGAGAGGGTCGCCTTGTCTAACTCCCCTTTCGGTAGGAAAAGAGGCTGACAGGAAACCGCAATTTAGAACGGATGCCGAAACTTCGGAATATAGAGTGTTAACAAAAGATATAAAATTTTCTCCGAGATTGAATTTCTGGAGAATCTACAGCAGAAACGCACGATCGACTTTGTCAAACGCCTTATCTTGATCTATTGATAAAATGAAACTAGGTAGATTTTTAAATTCCGCATAATCTATTAGATCACGCACTAAATGTAAATTTGAGAAAATTGTTCTACCTGGAATTCCGCAAGTTTGATTTGGTTCTATAATTTTCCCCATTACTTTTGCAAGTCTTAGGGCCAACGCTTTTGTGATTATTTTGTAATCAGCACCAATTAAGGATATGGGTTTCCAATTTTTGCATTCGGTAAGATCTCCTTGTTTGGGAATCAGTGAAATTATTAAATTTTTCATAGAGTGGCTGGTATTTTTTTCTACGAAAAGTATTTCGTAAGCAAGTTCTTCAAAATCTTTTTCTAAAATGTGCCAAAAAGTTTTGTAAAATTCAGCTGGGAGTCCGTCATAGCCCGGAGATTTTCCGTTTTCATATTTAAAAAGGGCTTCTTTTAGTTCCGCGCCAGTTAGGCGGGTATTTAAAATTTGGTTTTCATCATCACTTAAATGTTTAGCGATGTGTGACAAGACATAGTTTTGGCTGTCTTTGCATAAATTCGTTTTGGTGTAAATGTTTTTGTAATATGAAACGAGGGTGTTTAGTATTTCACCAGGTTCACAGTAAATGTGCCGTCATTCTTGCGAATTTCGGTATTTGACTTGTTCCGCTGTTGATCTTTTTCCAAATTATACAAAAATTTTAAAGGTTTTTCTCCTTCTTCGATTAGTTTTTGCTTCGTGCGAATAAACGCTCCTGGAAATTGGAGCAAGAAAAGAGCATCGCATTTTTCTTTGATGCTATCTAAAAAGGGAACAATTCAATTTCCATTATCCTGGCCCTCAATTTCCAGTAATCAATATCTAAAAAGGGAACAATTAAATTTCCAGTATCCTGGCCCTCAATTTCCAGTATCCTGGCCCTCTCCTAGTTTTACTAAAATTGACGGTTGTTGTCACGAACTAGTGGTCGGAAAACGGATTGGTGAGAATTTTAGTATATGTTGTTTTTTTGGTGACTTTATCAGGACAGTAGATTCGGTCGAGTCTACATTTTACCTTCTGATTTCGCCACGTGAATTCTCTTTTGTTTGGGTATTTAAAACGAAAAACATCAACTAGGTTATACTTAACTTGGAAGACCCCGAGTTCATCAATGCTATAAGTGTGATATTTAGCGTTGTTCGTGCCTTCTGTGTCGAGAGGCAGGCTTTCGACCATGTTGAAATCTCCGGCCAGCAGGACGGGTAGTCCTGTGCCTTGCGAGAAGTCCCCAAAGTTGCCAAAAAATTGGCGCCTTTCTCTCGGCACATTGGGAGCGTAAATATTCAAAACCTGCATTTCGTGTTCGTCACTTTTTATAATGACATTTAATATTCTACCGTTATTATCCCTTTTTACTTCGTTTTAGGAAATGTTGGATTTAGAGAGAATCGCCACCCCTCAACAGTTATGACTTGGACCGGAGTTCCAAATGGACTCGCCAGTCCATTCGTCTCCCTACTGTTTAACAGTGGAAGGTCCAGAGTGTGTTTCCTGTAGGAGTATGAGATCAAAGGAGGATTTTTTTAGAAACCCAAAAAAATTGTCGCGTTTTGTTTGGTTGTTTAGATTGTTTATGTTGCATGTTAAAATATTAATTGCCATGTTGGAGAGGACCAACTTTCCTAATTTGAAAACTCGTATACCTTAAACATAAATATAATAACTTTACAACCTGACATAAAAAGTACAAACATTTAAACCTTAACCTTATCGCACTGGACCATAACATTTTACACAAAGGAGCAAGCTACAGCAATACGGATTACCACAACTTATGCGCTTAATTAAAAATAGAACATGCATTTTAAAATAAAACGAAAAAGAATTCGAAAAATTATACAGATTTGAGAACAGAAAGAAAAAATGAAATTAAAAAAGTAGGAAAGATTTTAAAACGCAAAGAAAATTAATATAAAAGAAAATTCTTACGAACTCTCCTCCGCACAACTTAAGATATCATAGGCGTCAAAATTAAAATTTAAATCTTGCTCGTCGTCGATTAAAACATCTGTGTCATTCTTTTCTTTTTCATGGGTAACCACTACTTTTTCTTAGTTTAAAACTCTTCTGTTTTCTTCGCTAGAAATTTCATTGCTACTTTTTTTTGATTTGGAACTTGATGTTTTAATTTCCATGTTACGTTCACCATTTTCTAAAATTGTAATTTTTTCGCCGGTTACTGCCAAGATCTCTGAAATTTATGTTTGTGTGTTGGGCAAACTTTCTGAATTATTTGTTGGTATGTTTTCTGAAGTGACAGTTGATGAAGATTCCGCACTTGATGAACCACTTAGGTTTACAAGCTTTGGGCTATGTTGAGGTTGCCCATTATGTTTGTAGCGTAGTGTGAATCCATCGACATTTTGATATCTTGGCAACGGGTTAATGTGAGGGTTTTGCCAGTTTTTAATTATAATTATTACGTTTCCTGTCAGTATATCTTCTCCGTGTACCTTTACCTTTTGACAGCTAAAAGACTCAAATGTACCTCTACATGCCGCAAGGTGTTTACCTAAGGTGGTAAGGGCAGCTAAACCTCCGCTCAAAAGGATACCAATAGGAACATTTTGTACTAATACATGTATGTTGCGTACAAACCTTTGATTAATTGAAATAGATACGTTTTTGATGACAATTTCAGTCTCGAGAAATTCGGATACTTTATTTACGTTATTGACAACAAATTCAAAGTACCGATGATTATAATGTCTTGTAACGCCCCAGACGTAGCATAGTAATTTTTTCAGCAAGAACTTCTAAAAACTCCTCCACGCTACAATTAAGGTCACCATACCGGCATATGAAAACAGAAGTTGACGAATTTTGAGTCGTAGGTTTAAAAATACCAAGGTTGACACGTCTAGGTTCTCCGTTGCCCTCTGGAGCCACCACATTAGCATAACTTTTTGCCATTAATTAAGATTATGTCAAAGATCTCAATAATAAGTTGAGTACTGCAATATTAAATCCAAGTGCAAATTAAAATCCAAACTGCAAGTTAAAATCCAACTTTATGGTTCATACATTATTAACACAAATAGAACTGTTTGTTTATTGTGTTTTTTCAAAAACACAATAAACAATACATTAACAAATATACCTCAATATCTAATTAATGAAATAGTGAAAGTATTAGTCGTCTAATTATAAGCATATTAACAGTTTCGAAAACTAAGAATTAGTCGTCTAATTATAAGCATTAAACAGTTTCGAAAACCTCGTGAAAACCTAGGAACTGAAATGATGCTTCAAAATAACAACTCAGTAACTAAAAATCAATCTGACGTCGTAAATCAATCGGATGTGGAGCATCAACTATACGCAGCTCGTGCCATGTCTCTAAATCAGAAATCACAATGGATGAACGCGAAATAAATTCAAATAGTTGTAGTTTTAGTCTCTGAGCGTATAACTGTCAGAGTCTTAAATCAAACTCATGCTATATTTCTACCATAATTAACTCTTTTGATATAATTTTTCTATCCGAGCACCGGCTGTCAAATGTCGAGCGATTTATTTTATATGATCTATCAGCTCCAACACATCAAATATTTTTTCACTCTGCTGAAAAGAAAGAATACGGAAGACCTTTTGGGGGAAATGCTTTTTTAGTTTGTAAAAACTTACTGCTTTCTCTTCACGTAATACACGAAGATGAACACATTCTTGCAATAAAAGGTTCATATGGCAACAGTGTTTTTATTTTTATTGGAGTTTATCTTACTTCATGCAGAAATACTTCTGAATCATTAAAACAATATCTGTCTCAACTTAGTGTAATTGCCTCCATCATTAACACATACGAGGATGAAGAAGAGTGTATAACTGCCGGCGATTTTCAGTTATTTCCTGAAAATATATATGACACGGAAGTTCGAAATAACCAAACACGAAACAACTTTTCTAGGCATTTATCTAATTTTCTTGAAACAAACGAGCTTTCTTTTTTGGATATAATTAGTGGTACTGGTCCTACCTATACCTATAAGCATAAAACACTAAATAATTCATCTTACATCGATCACATAGCAGTCTTAAAAGAATCATCAATATGCTTTACAAACTGTAAAATTATTTCTCCTTCACATTTAAACATGAGTGATCATTTACCCATCGCTACACATATTAATCTTAAAAACAATAGTTTAACTCCAGTTATAAATAATATACTTAAAAAATACAATACAATCCCAAAGTATGCATGGAAGGATGACAACTTTATTGAAATTTATAATCGGAATCTCTCTCAGTTCTTCGAAGATTACGCTTTTATTGGAGAAGCAATAGAAAAACAAACTCAAACAACATGCGAAAAAATAAACAATGCTGCCGCTTTAGCTATGAAAGAATGTTATCAAAAAAAAGAGTTTTGCATTTACTCTAAATCATGGTGGACACCGGAAGTTAAATTATGCAAAGACATTCTCTCTTTCCACTTTAAAGAATGGAAAAAATGTAACTATTGCAGATCGCAGGAATCTATTTCATTTAATAAATACAAGCTAGCTCGTAAAAATTTTCGTAAAACAGTAAAAGCAGCTCATAACCTAAAAATCAATAAAATTACCAAAAACATTGAATATCTTTGAAAAACTAATCCTCAAAAGTTTTGGAACAATATCCGAAAAATTAAATCTATTCCGAACACTCGTATTCTTACAATAAATAAGAAACAAGTTGGAAAGGAAATTGTAGAAGAATTTCGACAAAACTTTAATACAATTTTCAACACTCCCACAATTACTAACAACAATTCCGAACACCGCAATATTCCCCAACTTATAGTTGAACCTAATAAAATACTCTTATCAACTTCCGACATTGAATCTTGTATTCGTAAGCTAAAGTCTAATAGATCACGTGACTCTTGTGGAATTACTGCAGAGCATCTTAAATACTCTTCTAATAACAATCTTGTTACATGGCTTTCAAAGTTTTATAACAGTATTTTTAATAATGGAGCTGTGCCAGAGTACTTATCAACTTCCATAATTACCCCAATAGTAAAATCCTATAAAAAATCTCTTAATAATTCAGATAACTATCGCGGTATTAGTATTACACCGACCTTGACAAAACTCTTTGAATATATTATCATGCAAGTATGTCCGGAAATATCAGACATTCACTCTCATCAATTTGGTTTCAAGCAAAATAGCTCCACCCTGCATGCAGAGTTCCTATTGAGTGAGACATTAAAACATTATAATAATAATAAATCGCCAGTATATATCTGTAGTTTAGATGCAAATAAGGCTTTTGATAGCTGTAACTGGGATTTGCTGTTTGAGAAACTTTATTACAACAAAAACTTACCGCTATCAGTAGTTCGCGCACTACAATCATTATATCGCTCGGGTACAGCTAATATATCATACCTTGGACATAAATCAAATAATTTCTGCTTGACTCAAGGTGTGCGACAAGGATCCATTTTATCGCCACATTTATACAACATTTATACTGAAAGTATATTAAGTCAAATTGTTTCCGATTGTAAAGTTGGAACAACAGTAATTGAATCTGTTTATCAGATTACTGAGCAATCCGACTTGTCTTTCCTTGATTTTAACTCAAATATCTAATGTTAATAAGGAAAACTGCTTTATTTACGAAATAATGAAAATTTGCAACTGCCTGGAACTAAGCTTCATGCAATGTTTGATTAAGGGGGAAAAAATAATTATCAAACGTCGTAACGATGACGTAGAAGATAATATAGCAGAAATTTAAAACCAGTCTTTTGAGTTCTGGAACGTCAGAGAGCAGAGAATGATATTCAAAAGTTTAATGAAAGAAAGCATTCCAAAAAGAATCTAAATTATAATTTTGATTTATAGTATAAACTATTAGTTTTATGACCTCTGAATTTTTTACCTGTAATTTTGGGTGATGAAAAGAATTAAAAAATAAAAAATAAAAATATAGGTATTGTGGTTTATCCTCCTCCAGCTAATTGCCATACGGAGGCCACATTACCAAGAACCGCAAAGACAAGTTCAGCTAATAAATAGCGTCATTACCTGCTCTACGGACCAAGAGTAAAGTAAGTTTAGGAAGAACGAAGAATGTTAGAGTACAAGACAGAAGAAGTCGTGTCAGAAAGATAGCATACAGAAAGCGGACAGTATTGCACACGATATTAGAAGGTGCAATATGTTACTATACACATAATTGGCTTGAGCCAATTGATGTATTTTTTTTTTTTTTTTTTTATAAAATTTATTTCAAAATGATAAATATTTACAATTTTTCTAAACTATTTCTGTATAATAAAAAAAATATCCTCTTTACAATTAAAGAAATATTTCTGTTTTTATGTATATATATTTTTTTTTTTATAATAATCGTATATATTAATAAAAAGGGTTTTTCACATAAGTTTTACTATTAACTTTTTTTTAACATATTTTATAATATTTTTCCATTAAAATAACTTTCCGACTTATATATATTAATATATATATATATATATATATATATATATATATATATATATATATATATATATATATATATATATATATATATATATATATATATATATATATATATATATATTTTGTTTTATAAATTTTTTTTATTTTTTTATTTTTTTTGTGTTATTTGATTTTATATTTTTTTGTATTTTTAGATTTTATATTTTTTTGTGTTTTTTTGTTTTTTTTTATTTTATTGCCTTTGTGCGGAGAGAAATCGATAATAAGAAAAAGCTTTTAGAAGAAATTGATTAAGTTTAATCAATTTTAAGTGAAGGAAAAAAAATTTTATAAGTAAAATAATAATAAGGTACAGGACTTTAACACAAATACTACGTTACTAAAAGTTACAAAGAAACATGCAAATAAAATTTTATATAAGGGCCGGCAGTGTTTGTCTAATCATAAATAACAATATTTTTGTAGTAATTATAAAACTTATATTTGTAGAAAACAGGAAACACTTAACTAAACATTTAGTTCTTGTTATGAGCCAGTGTACTTGTTCAGCTCATATCTTTAGTTTCAGGTTCCCATTTTCTATTTGACTAAAAACGTTATTGATACAAAAAGTTTGACAGAAAATGTCCGTAGTGTTTCTACGGACATGGCAATTATATTTTAAAGTAATAATATCTCTGATATTTCTGATAATTATCCTGATCACTGCCATTGGGTCAATTTTTAAATTGTTAAACAAATGGTGGCATCTGCTGTTCCATATTTCACTCATGATGGTTTGAGTGATTGTCAAAAGCAGCTGCGAGGTAGGGTTTTTCTCCGATAAATTCGCAGTTTCAATCGAAAATATCAAATTTATTGGAGAAAAGTTGTTTTGGGATGTCAAGGAGTTATATACATGTTTAAAGTATTCCCATATTGTAACAGAGGGAGGACAGTAGGCAAAAATTTGCAGATTGTCCTCAATTTTTCCGCAGGTTTTACATTTGTTGTTTTTAATGATCTGTTGCCTTGTGCTTTTGGCGAGCAAGGCAGCGGAAGGTAAGCTGTTGTGAAGAAATCGAAAAAGGATGTTTTGTGTTGGTCCGGATGCGTGGGAGGTAAAGTTTTTTTTCCAAATCTGGGTCCACGGCATTGTTGTTTTTGTTGAACTGTTCCAGAATAGTTCAGCTGGCACGACTGTCTTTTTGTTTTTTGCCACTTATAAATAAATATTTTTTGTTGTTTTAAGGGGGATGTTAAACAGGGACCCATATTTGCTTAAAATTTCAATTGTGGTTTTGTAGTACTGAGACATTTTGTTGTCCCAGTGTTTTGGAAAAGTGTTTTGTCTTAAAAAGTTCCAGCTTTGGTTCTGTTTAGTAAATTTTACAAGTGAACTTGCCAACCAATACTTTGAAAAGTAGTAAGAATCGTGAGTTTTGCCCTCTTGACACTCTTTTATTTGAAAGAGCGTTTTGAGGCGGAGCGCAAGACTTTGCTCTTTGGTGATAATAATCCGAGACCCCCGCTTTTGACGGGTAGGAAAAGTGTCTCTCGTTTGACCGGGTTATAATTGGTCTTTTGCCACAACATTCGAAAAGGGCTCTATGCAAACGCTCTATTACCCAATCTGGAGTGGGCAACACGTTTGCTAGAAACCACACTTTTGACATTGCTAGCGTATTTATCAAATTAGCCTTTCCTCTAAGTGACAAAGTACGCAGTCCCAGAAACTTGAGCTTTTTCTCTATTTTCTTAAGAGCTACTTGCCAGTTGAAATTGGTAGTATTGCTCAATCTGGTATAAAAGGTAACACCACTTGCTTTTTCGAAGATTTTTATGTTTTCAAAGAAATAACGGACACATTTTACGTCCTTGGCAAAAAAGTTCGAATCGTCTGCGTACTGCTGTAGTTTTAGAGGTTTCGGTGCTCCCGGTATAGGAAAACCCTTTATTCTGCTGTCAGCTCGTATCACCAAAGCCAGGGCTTCGGCGACAAAAACGTACAACAAAAGAGAGAGAGGGTCGCCTTGTCTAACACCCCTTTCTATAAGAAAGGAGGTCGACAGGAAGCCGCAATTCAGAACTGTTGCCGACACTTCTGAATACAAGGTGTTAATAAAGGATACAAAATTTTCTACGAGATTAAATTTTTGGAGAATTTGCAGCAGAAACGCACGATCGACTTTGTCAAACGCCTTTTCTATCTATGGTCAAAATGAAACTAGGTAGTTTTTTAAATTCAGCGTAATCTATAAGATCACGTACTAGGTGTAAATTTGAAAAAATGTTTCTACCTGGAATTCCGCAAGTCTGATTTGGTTCTATAATTTTCCCCATTACTTTTGCAAGTCTTAGGGCCAGCGTTTTTGTGATTATTTTGTAATCAGCGCCAATTAAAGATATGGGCCTCCAATTTTTGCATTTAGTAAGATTTCCTTGTTTGGGAATCAGTGAAATTATTGATTTTTTCATAAAGCGGCTGGTATTTTTTTCTACAAAAAGAATTTCGTAGGCAAGTTCTTCAAAATCTATTTCTAAAATGTGCCAAAAAGTTTTGTAAAATTCAGCTGGAAATCCGTCATAGCCCGGAGATTTTCCGTTTTCAAATTTAAAAAGGGCTTCTTTTAGTTCCGCGCCAGTTAGGCGGGTGTCTAAAAACTGGTTTTCATCATCACTCAAAGGTTTAGTGATGTGTGACAAGACATAGTTTTGGCTGTCTTTGCATAAATTTGATTTGGTGTAAATGTTTTTATAATACGTTGACAGGGTGTCTAGTATTTCACCAGGTTCACTCGTCAATGTGCCGCCATTCTTGCGAATTTCTGTAATTGACTTGTTCCGCTGTCGAAATTTTTCCAAACTATATAAAAATTTTGAAGGTTTTTCTCCTTCTTCGATTAGTTTTTGCTTCGTGCGAATAAACGCTCCTGGAAACTGAAGCAAGAAAAGAGCATCGCGTTTTTGTTTGATGCTATCTAAATTCGGTTTAGCGTTTTGTCGCTCCCGTTGGATTTCGTTTTCAATCCTTACGATGTGTTTTTTATTTTTCGCACTTTCCTCTATTGAAATGTGTTGTAATTCAGCCCTAACAAAAAGTTTGCAGTCGTCCCACCATTTTAAAATAGACTCGTAGGACCTTTTTTTTGTTTGCCAATCTTGAATTAGGAGTTTAATTTTTTGCCTATACACTTCTATTTCCAATAGAGAGCAATTTAATTTCCAGTATCCTGGTCCTCTCCTAGTTCTACTAAAATTGACAGTTGTTGACACGAACTCGTGGTCGGAAAAGGGGTTGGTGAGAATTTTGGTGTTTGTTGCTTTTTTGGCGGCTTCATCAGGGCAGTAGATTCTGTCTAGTCTACATTTAACCGTCTGATTGCGCCATGTGAATTCTCTTTTGTTGGGAAACTTATAACGAAAAACATCTACTAGGTTATACTTACCTTGGAAGACCCCGAGTTCAGCAATGCCGTAGGTGTGATATTTTGCATTGTTCGAGCCTTCTGTGTCAAGTGGCAGGCTTTCAACCATGTTGAAATCCCCGGCCATCAGGACGGGTAGTCCTGTGTCCCGCGAGAAATCTTCAAGGTCGCCAAAGAAATGACGCCTTTCTCTTGCCACATTAGGAGCGTAAATGTTCAGCACTTGCATTTCGTGTTCATCAATTTTTATCATGGCGTTTAATATTCTACCGTTAGTGTCCCGTTTTAGTTCGGTTACAGAAATGTTGGGTTTAGAGAGAATCGCCACCCCGCAACAACTGTGACTTGGACCAGAGTTCCAAATGGACTCGCCAGCCCATTCATCACCCCACTGCTTTACAGTGGACGGTCCAGATTTTGTTTCCTGAAGGAGGATAAGATCGAAGGAGGATTTTTTAAGAAAACCAAAAAAATTATCACGTTTGGTTTGGTCGTTTAGACCGTTTATGTTGCATGTTAAAATATTAATAGCCATGACGGAGAGGATCAGCTTTCCTTATTTGAAAACTCAAGTAGCTTAAACGTAAATATAATAAGTTTACAACCTGACATAAAAAACACAAACATTTAAACCTTAACCTTAGAACACGAGTTTTCGATTGAAATGACGTAATACGAACAGATGGACACACTGGACCATAACATTTTACAAAAAAGCGCGAACTACAACAATACGAT